ATGTAATGAAATACTTCATCCTCGCTCGAGTTTGCACAAATTCTAAATCACATATGTCAGTGTGAATTAACTCAAGTGGACTAGTGCTTCTCATCACCGGTTTAAATGGTGTTTTAGCCACTTTTGCTTCAACACATGTTTCACATTTGTTGTGTGAATCAATTTTAACTTTTGGTATCAATTCCAAATTCACCAACTTTTTAATTGTGTTAAAGTTCACATGTCCTAATCTATCATGCCATAAATTAGAACACTCCAACAAATAAAAAATACTTTCTTTTATTCTTCGCCTCTTGGCGGACAACATTCATTACATTCATCATAAAAAGACTCTCATCTAGGTACCCTTTCGCTAAGAAGACACCATTCTTAGTCATTACAAATTTATCGGCCTCAAAGACTAATCTAAAGCCGGCTTTGCTCAAAAGAGCACCGAATACAAGGTTCTTACGGATGTCCGGGACATGCAACACTTCCGTTAGCGTCAAGTCTTTGCCCGAAGTCATTTTCAGCACCACCTTTCCCGTTCCCACGACGTTTGATGTCGAAGAGTTGCTCCTGAACAGCTTCCTTTTGTCGGTAGGGGTATAAGACAAGAACATATCTCTATCTGCACAAATATGTCGAGTTGCTCCCGTATCGACCCACCATTCTCGTGGATTATTAACCAAGTTAACTTCTTGGACCACGACGGTTAGATCGAGCTCATATAAGTCAATGGGAACAGATTTATCCTCGGCTATATGTGCGCTATCCTAACCCTTCTTCGGGAGACGACAATCTTTCGCAAGATGCCCAGATTTACCACAATTGTAGCAATTCCCTTTGAACTTCTTGGTGCGCGTTTGATGTTGCTTTCCATTTGAAGTTCTCTTGCGCTTCTTATTAGAGCTTGACTCGACCAAGTTTGCCTAGCCTCGAAATCGCTCCGGTTGGCCCTTACTTCAGATTTTCGATTATCTTCCTCAATTCGAAGTCGAACAATCAAGTCCTCCAATGTTATCTCTTTGCATTTATGCATGAGATAGTTTTTGAAATCCTTCCAAAGTGGTGGTAACTTTTCAACAATAGCCGCAACTTGGAAAGCCTCATTCACAATCAATCCTTCGGCCAACAAATCGTGAAAGATGATTTGAATCTCTTGAACTTGGCTAACCACCGACTTGGTGTCCACCATTAAATACTTTAGAAATTTGCCGACGAGAAACTTTTTAATCCCAGCATCTTCCGTCTTGTATTTCATCTCCAAGGAATTCCATAACTCCTTTGACGTCTTAATCGGACTATAGACATTATAGAGAGAATCGTCTAGTCCGTTAAGTATATAATTTCTACACAAGAAATCATTGTGATGTCAAGCATCCGAGACCGTACGCCTTTGCATGTCGGTCTCACTTTCGGGGATGATCAAAGGGTCCTCCGAAAGAAACGAGGGAGGGAGAGAGTTGTGAGGTAGAAAAGCATCTTTTGTTACCACCTCTTGAAATCATAGCCATTGAACTTCGGCGGTCTCTCGCCTTGGACAAGAGCAGCTACCATCGATATAGCGGTAGGTTGAGCATTTGTTTGGTTTTCTTCGGTTGCCATCTTATGAACTCACAATATTTCGTCTTAAGATTGTAACTTATAATTTTGGTATGTGAATTTCAAGAAAATGGCTGAAGAAATCAGAAGGAAAATGGTAAAACGAATAAAGTCGAGGCACGTAAGATGCAGTCTCCTTAAGACGAAATAGCCCCGTGTATTACCCACGGTTCACGGCTAACGCCTCCAAGATACTACGACTTTTGATTTGTGTATAGCGGTAACTCAAATACACAAACCTTCGACGAACAATACTTATGTTTTGAACTCTCAAGATAGAAAAGAAAAAAACAAAGAACACAATATGAATATGAACTTAGTAAAAGGATGCAATGGTTATGGAAAATATTTCATGTAATGACTATTTCACTTCATGGGTATTTATAAATGTTATAACACATCTCCAGGGGGTTCAAGACATCAAAAGACACCTTTTGGGACGTGTCCGGTCGATTAAAACCGGTTAGAAATTATTCCAATACGAATAGGTGCGTCAGTGTCACGAGCTCATCGCGCCCGCGACGCCCTATCGCGATCGACAGAGGCTCCGGGTGAAGAAGACTTTCACGCCTGCGTCGTTCGCGCGCCCGCGACGGGTCTTGTGCACAGAGTGTCGCGCCCGTGACGGTCGTCACGCCCGCGACGGGGCCTTGCGCGCAGCTGCGCTCCGAAAGCTCGTACGCGTTCGTTCGGACTCGAAATTTAGTTTCGTTTTTTCATACTTGTCCCCAACGAGTCCTTCCACAGTTCTAGCATACTTAATGCAAGATTATGACTCATTTAGTTTGTCCAAATATTAGTCAAACTTGAATGTTTTGTGAACCTTACAACATTTGATTACTTAAATTCAATTGTCCGATATAAAACACTTAGAATTAATTTCTCATTCACCTTAAAATGGTTTTGAGAATTTTTTAAGTCTTCCACTAACTAAAAGTTGAGCCATTAAGTTATACAAAACTAATTTTTTCTTACAAATTATTATTAGTATATGGTTTGTTTATTTTAATAATTATCAATCAAGATTTTTATGATTATATTCATACACAATTGATTTGTGATTGTATTTTAGGTTTATTGTGCAATATTTCCTATTTTTATTTGAAATTGAATTTGTTTGCTATATTTTAAAAATGCACGAAACCCCTTTAAAATAAGATTAAAAGAATAAATCAAACTAATTTTAATAAATATTTATATTATTTAAAACAGAAAAAGAATACATAGATAAAAGTATTATGTAATTTTGAAGTCGTGGTGGTTGGGGTAGCAATGTGTTACCAGTAGTAATGGTGGTGATGCTCGTAGTGGTAGAGGTAGTCGTATTAGTACTGATGGTGGTGGCGGCGGCGGCGACAGTTGTAGTAGCAGTAACAGTAACGGTCGTATTTAGACTTGAGTCTAAAATAGACTTAAGGGTAGACTGGGTATGTTTCTATGTAGTCTGTATATTTTTTCGAATTGACTCAAAACATTGTAGATGCTCTTAGGTTCAGTTCATTCGAGAATTATATATAAGGAGATTAAATTATATCTTAAATTTATATTTATTATAAGTTTTCTTTTCATTTTCTGTGTGTATAACATTGGGCCTATTTTCTAAAATTCGGATTGCAAAATTGTGCTTGGTTTCTGGGCTTTTCTGGGTTTGGGCCGAGAAAAGTTATAATAGCCATTGATTTTCTGTCAGCCACATCATGGGCCGGGCTCGGAGCAACAACAGCAGCAGCAGTGGAGAGGAAGACGGCGATGCCGAGTGGAGGGCCGCCATAGATTCTGTAACCGCCTCTACCGCCACCTTTACCAAGCAAGATCCCGGCGGTCCTCCGGCATCTTCCGTCCGCCATGGAACCCGTGAAGGCGAGGACGGGAAACAAAAACCCCAAAAACTTAAACATTACCAAATCAAGGTACACTCTAAACTCTTTTGCTTCTGAATTATTGTATGATTAGTTATGCCTATGCCTATTCAAGTGACATTGAGTGGCAAGATTTTGTTTTAGTTCTCGTGCTTTATGCTAAAGTTCTCACCACTTATGATTTATGCTAATGTTTCCCCATTTTGCCTTTCTTGTTTTTCATTTTGTATTGTAATTTGAGCTGGTGAATGTTGCTTGTGTTTGGTTTTTCGATTGTCGTAATGCGAATGCAAAATGCTGTGTTAGTCCGTTCTTCTTCAGTTTCAAGCATAATTTTGATAAAGTCTGCAGGTTTTGTTTGTTTACTTCCCAAATCACTTCAGACCCAAATAAATGATGTGTGCAGATTTTAGCTAATGGACTACTTGTAAAGGAGAATGATCGGTCGTTGACGAATGATTAGATTTACTGCGATTTCTTGAAACTTTTTTTGTGTGTGCATATAGGATTAGTGATGGAGAGTTTTACTTAAGGCGATTGGACACTGTAAGCTGATGAATATTTTAAAAAATCGATGACTAGCTAATCATTATTCTGTTGGTCTCGGTTTTTCATGACAATTTGTCTTTGACAGGCGCAGAAACTATTGGAAGACATGTTAGACAAGGAAATTGAAGTGGTTAGCTATACAACTGATAGTGTAGATGAAAATGGTGCATTCAATGATGTTGGAGTTCGACTTTTTAGACGTGCTCCTGCAGGGATTGTATTTGATCGCTTAGGTGAGATGATGTCTACTTATCGTAAGCACTATTTCCATGTTTGTCACTAAGAGAGCCCAAGTAGCTGAAATTGTTTAGTCCTCTGCCTATTTGCCAGAGGCTGCGCACATCTAGCCTCAGGAAATCTTTATTGGAATAATTACCCAAAAAAGAAAAATCCTGAATGTATTATAATTAAAGAATATAATACAGTTTATTTATAATCATGAATATCTTTAGTTGCATTGAAGACGACTCCTCGAGGCTTTTATCCATTACACACACTCTTCCCCTCAATGCAAATTGGACTTATATTGGGTGTAATATATAAATTTTGAAAGATGATTTATCCCTTTTTAATCAAATTATGCTAACCTCAAGGTTAGTAGTTTTTTCTTTGGTATTATTGTATTTTGTTCCTTGTACTGTTTAACTAGTTATTGAGTGTGTATGTTTTCTGTTATTAGATGAGCATCAAGGGCCGAAAAAGAAACCCAGAATTATTCCTGGAGAAGTGCTTGGCGAAACATCAAAAGAGGTGTGGTCAGTGTTCATTACATTCCAATCACATTTTTGTAACTTTTTCACAGAAATTGAAATTGGTTTTTCATGATTTTTTTTTTTTGGCAGTTTAGGAAGCAACTCAAATCTGCTGCCGTTGATGGGGCCAATATAATTGCTGCAGCTAAAACTGCACGCGAGAAGTCGTTAGCTAAGCTTGAAGCTCGAGAAGGAGCTGCTAAGGCAGCAAGAGAAAGAGAGGAACAACGGGTAGCTGAGCTGAAAAGGATTAGGGGAGAAAGATGGCTTCCTTCAATTGCAAGACAAATGCGGGTAACCACTCAACGCAAAAAATGATTTTGTGCTTTCATTGCCGCGAGATAACATTTTTATGGTACCATATGACGTGCAAAATCTGAGAGTTTTAAGCTCGTATCTTGCCCCACCCTTGGGGAAAATCAACCAAGAGTATTTGCAGGTTTGATCGAGATTTTGGATTGTTTGTGTGAATGGACTTCTTTTTAAAGAAAATGTTTTTAATCTGAGAGGAAGAAAGTTATGTTTCTTGTTTATGAGACATAAGTGAAAAACAATTTTGTCTACCTCTATAATTTTGTTTGCATATTTTCCTTCACCGTTATAAACTTCTCTAAGAACCATCAACGTTTTTGTTGGGCTTGATTATTTGAAAAGGACAGAAAAATGATATTATGAATAGGCGAATTTTTATACATACCACAACATTTTCAAAAAATTGTAAAAATACGAGATGCAGCAACTTAATTGCATTAGCACCTAATGAATTGCTTTTATTTGTTTACAAAACAGAAAATTCTGTTACCTTAATTAATCCACTCGCATATAATCACACGAAGATGGGATTAAAAAAAGGAAAGTGTACAACAACAACAACAACAAAGCCTTTTAGTCCCAAACAAGTTGGGGTAGGCTAGAGATGAAACCCAATAGAAACAGTAGTAAAAAAAAAAAAAAAAAAAAA